CTTAGTATTTTTTTTTTTTTTTTGTGGTTATATTATTACCAAATTTGTTGGCAGCACGAAGGAGGACTTCTTGGATCAAGTGTTGAGCTGGATCGCCTTCAGGAAAAGCAGAGATGAAAGATTCAACCTCGAAAATGGCTTCTTGGTTAGAGAAATATTCATACAATCCATCAGAAGATAGGATTAGGAATTTGTCGCGTGACGTTAGCTTGTGATGGCATAGAGATGGAGAGCATGTAATGTATGGCGATGTTCCGATGTAGTCGATCCTGAACATCTCTAAAAGTGCATCGTTCCATTTAGGCTAATGAGAGAAAAACAAAAAAACTCGAGATTAGATACAATAATAAGATTTTTCTTAGTTTTGGTTCATATTACAAGCCCGATCATTCGAAAAGTGTTGCATAGTTTTAAAGATTGATAGGATAGGAGTATCAAGTAGTATATTTGAGCTTTGGAGATTTCTAATATATTGAGTATTTTTCTATTTATAACATAAAATGTGAAATTTTGTACAATGTATAAGACCCCATGGATGAGAATTAGGGTTTGCATAAGATGAATAATTTTCAATTGGTTTTGAGTGGTAAGCCTATGAAATTACCTGTTTGAGAAACCCAGCTCCAAATGCTCGAGTGACTTTAAGATAACCTTTAACTCTATCATTCTCTACTGCACAATCATCTTCAGGATGTTCCTTCTTGATTCTTCTCACTTCCTGTCATCATTAAAACAAACAAAAACCCATCAATTTCTCAATCCATAATCAACGCAACAAATAAATTGACACATCTTGATTTTACTAAATTTTACCTCTTCCATTCTTGTGCTATGTTCCATGTTAAGTTGTAGAGGAACCAAACTATTACGCTTTGCTCTATTCATCAACATTTCTCGATCTTCTAACGAACTATCTTCTTTGATTCTCTCCAATTCCTTTTGCCTCTTTCTCCCAACCGCGAAATTAGGTTTCCGAGCTAAAACCGCTCTACTATCGCCCACATTCATCACATAAACATCTTCTCCTTTCATCAACGTAACAAGAACGCAAGATCCCATCAATGCTAATTCAGGATTCTCTTTAACCATCATATCAGCTAGCTCTAGATACGCCTCTTCGGTTTTCCTCAAAGCTTGTAAAAGAGCTTTTAGAACATCTCTATGGTTTGTTGTCGTCGTCGAATTCGATTCTTTATGATCACAAGATTTGGTCTTGTTGTTCGAGTTATTATCATTCTCCCATTCACATTTCCATTTCACACTCTTCTCTTGATTTCTTGCACCAGAAGCAACCTCATCGTCACTGTTCGTCATCACAGTACACGAATCGGAATCTTCGTCGAAAGTTTTGAGCTTTTCTTCGTTCCAGAGTAACCCATTAAGCTCTTTTTGCACGGCGATGTAGAGATTGTTGAGGAGATAATCCGGTGCATCTGGACCGCTGAATCCGTCGTAGATTCCGACAAAAATCCATCCGTTTTCTTCAGACACGACCACGTGCACACGATCTTCCCCTGCTTTCCCCTGAGCCCATTGAATGTCCAAAACAGAGTCGATGCTCTGTTT